CGTGAATGGAGAGCAAAAAAAATGGGTGGCTCAAATTCGAAAGCCGCGCCACCCTTACTGTGCACGGATGCTTTGAAACATTTTAAGCATATAGGGCGCATGTGACAGGTTTATTTACGAGTTCCAGATATTAGCTGACTTTTCGCCGGTTCTTTTCAGGATATAGTTGTCTGCGATCCTTAAAGCGTCATGATTTCATGACTTTCGACTCGTTGACCGTCTATGGTGCACGGTATCTCGCTTGCTGCCATTTTCCAAGCTGTGGCTGTAGCCCCGATAACTTCTACTCTAATGATGTTCCTGGTAGCGTCAGACATCCTCCCTCCGCTCTATTGCTATTTTTCATTCATTCATTCTTATCGCACGCAACTGTCCGTATGAAGTTACGGTTTCTTTTCTGCCCCTTCCTTTTCTGATCACGACTTCTGACCCGCAAACCCACTTTTTTTAGAGTATGGTATTTTTTAAGGATAAAATAATATCATTAAGTTTGTTTTGCAGAATCGACTGGTGATGGCCAATCCCGAAGTGCAACTGTTTGAAGACAAGCTTGTCCGGAGTTGTCCTGAACTGGACGAATTTCGTACTACATGCGAGCTAACTGACCTTACTATTCAGGTAAGTTCCTTCTTCTCACTACAACGTTCGTAGTTGAAGAATAGAAAGTTTCTGCATATGCACCGACTCATCATGGCCTTCGGGATTCCTTCCTTACGCGCGGGGATGACGGAAACGGCTTCAGTTCTCCAATGACCAACGTTTTCCATTGAGTAAAATTGTTTTCCTTCCTAATCACCCTTTATCAGGTCTGCATCAATACTCATGGACTAGACTTGTATACGGGTCGGATTGAAATCACCTGTACCAATGCGATGAACATGATTTGGGTTAGCAAAGCAGTTGTCGCTGCCTTGCGTGGAATATTGGACTGCTACATTTTTATCTGCCAGGTACCTTGCTTTGCTGATCTGAGCATTGTTAAATGCGTGTGTGCAGCGCACAAAGGCATTTTTCGAGGCAACCGTTTCTACCGCCCTTTTCATGAAACTTCCTGCCGACTAATACCCTCCATTTTGCAAGGCGATGACCTGCAAGCGGACAGAAAAGAGAAGGTTTTCGAGGCAATTAAAAAATGGGTCCATCCAACCGGCACTTTGGATGAAGACAGAATTATTCATGCTCCAGAGATGCTCAAGGAGGTGCGCTGGATTCAAAAGAAGAACAGTTTTAGGAGACGTCTGGTCACGAGTAGCGACCCCATCGCCAGCAGCTTAGACTGTATGTATGCCTACCATTTTTTCTTATTTCTCCTTAACTGCTAGGCAGTGTGTAGGTCTTGCAGACCATCAGACAGGATATTAGAGCTTAATAAACCAGGAACAATGTCCCTTCAACGCTAGTCATCGACCGGCAACTCTTGCGAAGTG